GTGGGTTTGATGCGTACTGATATAAGTTTATTTGGTTTGGGTTGATCTGAAATTGGTGATTGCATTTTCATAACACGTTGGAATGTGAATTTTCATGCGTTTTGTAATTCTGAGTCTCTGTTTGGATGCTTTAATATGTTGGATTACCTTAGATACTGGCCTTCCCTTGATTTATGCATGATGGAACTAATTTAATTTAGAATAGATAATTTATCTGGTCTTCTTACTTTTGTTGGAATGTTGTTAATGTAATCTGTTAATTTTGGATATTTGTTTGTCATGGGTTCTGTAGAATTAGACTCCAGTTGTGTCCTCTCTGGTTTTCTGATTATTTTCTCAATTACGATTATTTCTTACCAATTTCCTTTGAGATTTGTGCATGTGTTTGTTAATGCTCTGTTTCTTCGTTTTTACAAGAAATAGAATTGCTCTCTTCCTCTTCTTGGCAACCACGTATGCCCTTTCTCTCAAATTCTTTCATTTGGGGTCTAAATGTGATGCCTTATTGCCTAAAATATCATGTTGTTAAATGGGTTATGATATTTTGGTTCTCTGCACATTCTGCATAAGTGCATACTGCAAAAAGCAAAATCTCTCTCTCTCTCGCTCTCTCCCTCACTTGCTTTTTGTGGCTAAAGATCATGTCGTTTGTGTCATAAATTTATTTTTGTTACGTGGGGTTATGTACATCTTTCGGATAATAAAAAAGTTTGAATCTTTACTAGGTTTCTTTAAATTTCTTTGAATTCTGCTTTGTAAATTTGGTTTAGAAATGTGTAGAATTGCATTTAAGAGGATCACAAGGAAGAGAAGCAAAGATCAGTTCTCAGGCATTCCCTACGTGAGATGACTATGCTTAATTGCTTACTCTCCACTCGCTATGCTACTTTGCTTCTCACTCCTTCAACTGCTCTTTCTCTTTCCCCTCTCTGCTGTGTACTGCCTAATTAGTTTTTTTGCATTTGTTTATTTATATCTGTAAAGCTTTCATGCTTGGATTTTAAACATATGATTCAAACATTCAACAGATATATATTCAACATTCGGTGGCTCTGGCAAAATCATATAGACTAAGACTTGTTAATATATGGAGGTGAGACGAGCTATTTCATTCCGAACTAAGACCTAAGGAATCTTCGCAATTCTTATCCTTTAAATTTTGTATTTTTTTAAATATTTATTAATTTTTTGGTGATGCAGATAGATGAACATGTTCAAAGGGAAATCATGAACCATAGATCACTGGACCATCCGAATATCATTCGATCCAAAGAGGTTAGTGATAATAGACTATTTTCATTTTGCATTTTTTTTTAAATATATATATATTTTTTTTGGTGATGCAGATGGATGAACATGTTCAAAGGGAGATCATGAACTACATATCATTGAAGAATCTGAATATCATTCGATTCAAAGAGGTCAGCGATCATAAACTATTTTCGTTTTGTATTTTAAGAGGATGAATTTGGCAAGTTCTGTTTGAATTTTGTATGAGTATCTGCTGGGGTTGGGTGGATGACGACAGAACATGCTAAATTTGGTCTTTGGTGTGCTTAAACTGGTACCGGGGATAGGGATGGGCAAATACCCATGGGTTATGGGTAACCGCGGTTACCCTTCCATTTAAATTAAACGGTTACGGTTATGATGCCTTATTGCCTAAAATATCATGTTGTTAAATGGGTTATGATATTTTGGTTCTCTGCACATTCTGCATAAGTGCATACTGCAAAAAGCAAAATCTCTCTCTCTCTCGCTCTCTCCCTCACTTGCTTTTTGTGGCTAAAGATCATGTCGTTTGTGTCATAAATTTATTTTTGTTACGTGGGGTTATGTATATCTTTCGGATAATAAAAAAGTTTGAATCTTTACTAGGTTTCTTTAAATTTCTTTGAATTCTGCTTTGTAAATTTGGTTTAGAAATGTGTAGAATTGCATTTAAGAGGATCACAAGGAAGAGAAGCAAAGATCAGTTCTCAGGCATTCCCTACGTGAGATGACTATGCTTAATTGCTTACTCTCCACTCGCTATGCTACTTTGCTTCTCACTCCTTCAACTGCTCTTTCTCTTTCCCCTCTCTGCTGTGTACTGCCTAATTAGTTTTTTTGCATTTGTTTATTTCAATGTTTTAAAAAACTAGCCTCGGGGCGCGCCTAGGGCGCCTTTGAGGCTGGGCGCCAAGGCTAACGCCTCTGTTTTGCTGGAGTGGGCGAAAGGCTTTGCCGGAGATGCCGAGGCGGCGGAGGCGCGCCTCAAGGCGTCCCAGGCGCGCCTCAAGGCGTCCCAGGCGCCTTGTCTGCCCTTTTTTTTTTTTTTTTTTTCAAAAAAAAAACGCTGTTTGGGTAAGGGTTTTTAGTCCAGATTCCACTTTTAATCCACATTCCACCATACCTTCGATCCTCTGCCTTCTTCACCCATTTCTCCCGTGCGCCAGAACACACAGCCGTCGTCACCCCAGTCGATCGTCCTCTCCCAGTCGCCACGCCGCCGTCATCACCCTGCCACCGTCACCCCAGTGCCGTCAGCAAGCCCACAAATCCCCAATTCTAAAGGTTAGGGTTTCTGAAATTCTGAAAAAAGTTAGGGATTTGCTTTTTTTTAAACTGATGTGAACTGTGGAGCATTCTGGGATAGGGCTGGGTGAGAGATAAATCTGGAGCAGTGGACTGGGGAAGCTTTTCTAGAGTAGGAAATAAATCTGGGCGATAAGGTTTTCTGGGGAAGGCAGAAAAACAGAGAGGAGGGAGGAGGCTAAAGGCTCAGGTGGATGGGAGAAGGATACCAATTTAATGTGGGTTTGATGTTGGAATGTGGGACCCGAGCCACTACTTGTTTTTTTCTTTTTTTTCGGTCAAAGAGTCGGGACTTGTTTGGAAAGTTGTCCAATGAGGGAGAGGAGATGAAACTGACAATGAGGTTGCCTATTTAATGGAAAATGGGATATAGGTATTTTCGTTTCAGATTTATAGTAAGGTTTCCAATTTTAAACGAATTTGGATGATATTATCTTTGAATAATAAATTTAGATGATATTATCTTTTGAATGACTATGGATTTGAATGATAAAATTGAGAATGGATGTTTATTTTACATAGTATTATTTTTTATACAATTATATGTATAATATATATAAAAAAAAATTTAATCCTATAAGGCTTCGCCTCACGCCTAGGCCGGGCTTCGCCTCCGACGCCTCGCCCACGCCTCACGCTTTTAATACATTGGTTTATTTATATCTGTAAAGCTTTCATGCTTGGATTTTAAACATATGATTCAAACATTCAACAGATATATATTCAACATTCGGTGGCTCTGGCAAAATCATATAGACTAAGACTTGTTAATATATGGAGGTGAGACGAGCTATTTCATTCCGAACTAAGACCTAAGGAATCTTCGCAATTCTTATCCTTTAAATTTTGTATTTTTTTAAATATTTATTAATTTTTTGGTGATGCAGATAGATGAACATGTTCAAAGGGAAATCATGAACCATAGATCACTGGACCATCCGAATATCATTCGATCCAAAGAGGTTAGTGATAATAGACTATTTTCATTTTGCATTTTTTTTCTAAATATATATATATATATGTATATATATATTTTTTTTGGTGATGCAGATGGATGAACATGTTCAAAGGGAGATCATGAACTACAGATCATTGAAGAATCTGAATATCATTCGATTCAAAGAGGTCAGCGATCATAAACTATTTTCGTTTTGTATTTTAAGAGGATGAATTTGGCAAGTTCTGTTTGAATTTTGTATGAGTATCTGCTGGGGTTGGGTGGATGACGACAGAACATGCTAAATTTGGTCTTTGGTGTGCTTAAACTGGTACCGGGGATAGGGATGGGCAAATACCCATGGGTTATGGGTAACCGCGGTTACCCTTCCATTTAAATTAAACGGTTACGGTTATGAGTAAATTGTTTAGATAAATAAACGGTTATGGGTATAACCGTTTATCCGCGAAATTTAAATGGGCGGTTTTAGGTATTAACCGCGGTTATAAACGGGTAACCGTTTACCCATTTATTTTATATATGTAAAATTAACACAAACTATGATCTTGATCCAATAATACTTAGGACCCAATAAATTAGCAAGGAATTCATCAGTCCTTCTCTCAATAACACTGCTACAGGAATGATGATTCTCATCATCAAGGAATTCGCCAAATTTAAATTCCTTGCGAGTAACCATGAAATTGACAGGAATGTCTTCTAAACAATTTTTGTAACCCAATAATACTTACCAAATATTATATTTACCTTCATTGGAAACAGTTAAAAATATCGTCCTTAAACTATTATTTTAATTATTGGAATGGTATAAGGACTTAAAAAATTAAAATACGAAAATGTATGATGAATGTACTTGATTGTTTAAAAAAAGAAAATTATGATAATTTTTTTTTAATTTTCAAGTTGTTAAAAAATATGTTGACGGGTGAAAAAGGGGGTAATGGTTAAAAAAAAAAAAGGATAAAGGGGAAAAAAGGGTAAATGGATAAACAGGTATTAAACGGTTATGGTTAAATGAGTATGTGGTTATGGGTATGGCTATAACCGTTTAGGCAATTACCCAACGGGTAAATGGTTATGGGGTATGAGCATAAACGGTTGTGGGTAAATAACTACGGTTACCTGCCTGCTATAACCGTTGCCCATCTCTAACTGGGGATGGTTGGAACTTTGAACTTGGAATGCAGTAGGACTAAGAGAAATGCCCTACCCATCTGGGCAATCCACCACTTGAAGAATTGATGTTAAAATAATACTGCTAAAAATATGAGCTTTACTTCCTGCACTTTGTGTCTTATTTATGTATGCAATCACGCCTGGAATGTGTCTTATTCATGCAGTTACGCCTGAAACAGTTGGTTCATGCTGCAACACGTGAGCTTATTTTCTAGTTGGGCTCTAAAACTTTATTTTTCTTAAAAACGGGTTTTAAATTCATACTTTATATAGGCAAGAACTTGTTTGGCATGAAATTTTGTATATTAAATTATTGAAAACAATTTTTTAGGGAAAAATTGAAAATAGATAGAAACGAAGCTTAACAACCAATACACATTTGAATCTAGTGATTTGTGCATCACCAACATCAGTTTGAATTAAACTGGGTAATAGTTTAAAGCACTCGTTACTACGGGGTCATGCGGGAGTCATTCTCAAGATCGATCACTTCATGGTTACAGAGATGGTAACAAACATTGCAGACGACAGTTGACATAGATTCATTCTCGCAGTTACGGATCCATTTCGTAAAGCCTAATAAGTCCGCTCCCATGATATTAAACAATCTGTCACGTGAGATCAATGCATCTTCACTACTTGATGGGACATCCTCCTAATCCTTATTTTGCTGCTCGTACACAAACTGGACTCCAATCTCCTTTGTGACGAAACCGTCTTGCTTTCTGATTATTTCGAGACACACTTCTTCCCCGCATTCCAATTCATTGTTCCCCATAATCCAATGGCTTAGCCATAACATATCTTCGTTCATCACTTTCCATTCAACCTTATTCGCCATTCTGAAGTTCCACTTAAGGCCCTTTGTCTCATTCCTAAGTTCAAGCAACTGGACAGGCCGGGAATCTGCAATCTCAGGGCTTCGATCCGATTGCCGGTCAAACAATATACATGCATTTAATGAGGTCATGCATTTAATGAGGCCGGGAATCTGCAATCTCAGGGCTGCAATTTTTTTGGGAAAATTTGAAAATAGATGGAAACAAAGCTTAACAACCAGTACACATTTGAATCTAGTGATTTGTGCATCCCCAACACCAGTTTGAATTAAACTGGGTAATAGTTTAGAGCACTCGTTGCTATGGGGTCATGCGGGAGTCATTCTCAAGATCGATCACTTCATTGTTAATGAGATGGCAACTAGCCTTGCAGACGACAGTTGAAATAGATTCCTTCTCGTACTCATCCCCAAGATCGGTATATTCCTCCAATGACCCAACGTGGTCCGCTCCAATTAACCAATGCGGTCTGCTCATTGCATCTTCACTACTTGATGGGACATCCTCCTTATCCTTATTTTGCTGCTCGTACACAAACTGGACTCCAATCTCCATTGCGAGGAAACCGTCTTGCTCTTTGATTTCAAAACACGCTTCTTCCCCGCATTCCAATTCATTGTTCCCCATAATCCAATGGCTTAGCCATAACATATCATCGTTCATCACTTCCCATTCAACCTGTGTCCGCATTCTTAATTTCCACTTAAGGCCCTTTGTCTCATTCCTAAGTTCAAGCGAATGGAAAGAAGGAAAGCCGCGTGCAATCTCAGGGCTTCGATCCGATTGCCGGGCATACAATATACATGCATTTAAACCTACGATCTTGATATTAGGCTGTGAAGGAACAATAAAAGGGAAAACAGTGTTACGCAAGCTCCTGTAATTGAACCGATCTGGAATCTTGCTCTCGTGGACAAAAATGCTAAATATGCAGCATTCAAAAGTTCCCTGCAGTTTCATGGTGATGTTGTGATTACAATCTAATTGTTTACGCCATAGAGATCATATTATAAGCACTTGTACATAGCAGAGAGAGAGAGAGAGAGAGAGAGAACCTTGGAGCGCCTTCTTGCACAATAGTTGTTCCCTTGGAACTCAACGCCACCGTTGGGTTTCAAATCGAATAGATCGATATCTTTGAGGAGTTTTATGTCAAAGCTGCTAAATGGTAGTGTATTGAACAAGCGTGCAACATCAACTAGTTTCCCACAATACCATAAATTTGAGTCCAATAATATGTTGTAATCCTCTAAATCAAAGTCCGATAATATGTCGCAAGAGTAGGGATCGGGGGCCGGTGATATGTCCAAGTTCGGTAAATTTGTTATTCTTTTCAATGATGTGCAACCTCTACCATTCAATTGTTTCAAACTATGTGGGAGCTCTGGAAGCATTGTGAGGTTTCTGCAACCTTCTACTGCAAGAGTGCGAAGCTTAACAAGATTGTTCATGCTCTCTGGTAGGCTTGTAATTGGATTGTTATTCAGATCCAAGTACTCTAACGAAGGCAGCATAGTAAGGGCACTCGGAATCTCTGATAGATTGCAGCGATCCAGACGTAAACTTGTTAAGGAATGTGGTAAACTTGCCAATGAGAAACTGCTTGATTCAATATTTTTTCTCGGCGACACCCACGACCAGATTGACCAGATTGAATACCATGGTTTAGGTGATAACAGAATGAGTTTCTTCATTTCACAAGCTGTAGATTGTAAGTGATCAGTTGTGGCAGTCGTATTGGCACCAAGCACAAGCTTTGAGCAACCAGAAAGAATAAGATCCCGAATAGATCTCAATTTTGGAAGCTTCATGAGATTTTTGCAGCCTTCTAGATTCAAAACAACAAGTTTCTCTAGGTATCCGATGGACTCATCAACCTCAACCAAATTTATGCAATGTTTAAGAATCAATCTCTCAAGGTTAGGGAGTCCTGAGAAGTCGGGGGTTGTCCTAAGGCCATGCGAATGACTGAGATTAAGAATTCTCAGCCTCGGAAGAAACTGTTTCAACAACAAGTATTAATCAATTTCTAAGAAGATATAATGGACATGTGTGAGAGAAAGAGAGAGAGAGAGAGAGAGAGAGAGAGAGAGAGAGAGTTACGTACCCTGATCCCATTCCAAACATGTTGTAGGCTACTATTTCGCATGTCAAGAACAACCAGGTTTTCCAAACAAAAATTTTCTGGTACTGATTTTAAGTGGAATCCTCTCCAAGATAAACATATTAAACTTTTTGGAAATTCTTCGTAGCTTCCCCTGATGTTGACGTTGTTGAGCATGAGAAGTTCAAGATTGTGCATCCTTCTAAACGCCTCAGGTTTGAAATCTATCTCATTTGATGCAGAAGCTGAGTTTGTGGATGAAAAGCTAATTGGTTTCCAAGAGAAGAAACCAAGCCCACTTCGTCTTGAAGAATTTTCATCATAATCTTCAACATGGCAGCGTTGTTTATCACTTACAACTAACGTTCTTTTGCAAGCAAGGTTGAGCATGAGGCCCTTAACATTTTCCGTACCCTGCTAACAAATCAGAGAATTGGGTAAGTATATAACTAGTACTGCACATGCAAATCATAACTAAAAATACATACACAAGAAAAACATAGTTCTTACACTTAATTTTCTCAAAATATTAGAGGCATCTTTCTGCAACACTCTACTACGTTTTCCGGGGTCATCAGGTGATTCTTCACGAATAATTTCCATTGCCATGTTTCTCACCAATTGATGCATGGCCAACCTGTTCGGCCATTGAATTTTCACTAGGCATCTGTCAACTAGATTTTCAATCCCAATCCTTGTGTGAAACTCTAAGCTGTCCAACATTGTACTCGTATAATCCATCTTCTTTCCTGTGAAGAAACTGGCTATGTGAAGGAATAAATTTTTGTCATGATCATCTTGTAAAGAATCAAAACTTATCCTCAGAACTTTCTGAATTTTGTCATTAGGGATCACGTCAAACTTCTGCAATGCACTTTGCCATACTTCTACACTTTTTCCGGATAGAGAAGATCCCAGAACTTCAAGAGCTAATGGAAGCCCTCCACAGTGCTGTACCACATGTCTTGAAAGCTCCATGTAACCTTCTTCTGGATGGGATTGTCTGAAGGCATGCCAACTGAAAAGCTCAAGTGATTCATCCTCATCGAGTTCTTGAACCATAAACTTTTCAAAAACTTCATGGGCTTTTAACAAATGATCATGTCTAGTTGTTATGATAATTTTACTTCCTGGATGAAGCCATTCTCGCATTCCAAGAATTGCTTTGAGTTGATCCCGGTTGCTCACATCATCAAGAACAATAAGAACTTTTTTATAGCCTACGGCTTGTTTGATCCTGCTTGTTCCTTCGTCCATATCGTATACTTTCTTTGCTTTCCCCTTTTGGATACCTGAAAGAAGTTTTCTTTGCAAGCGAGCAAAACCATTAGGTTGTTCTGAAGATTCTCGTATATCTGCAAGAAAGCTGCTACCTTGAAATCTACCAAAGTTACGGTTATAAGCGGCCTTCGCGATAGTGCTCTTGCCAATTCCACCCATCCCACAGATGACAGCTACACCAACATCATTTGATCCATCTTGTAACCACATGTTTAGGCGTCTCACACGATAATCCATTCCAACTGAAAAGGGAGCGACGTCTAAAGCTGCGTGATCCAGTTTATTTCTAATCTCTTCAACAATATCTTGGATGAACTGCCCCTCATACCTATAATTCATTTAATTGAAATATATGACGCAGAAATAAGCATGAGAACAAATAAAACCAAAATCGATAGGAAAATATAAACCAAAATCGAACAACTTCAAGCTTCACTGCCATCTACAATTTTACTTGAGGTTTTTTAGCCAAAATACACAACTCCTTACTTTGGTCCCAACATTTGAAATCGATAGAATTGGTCCCGAGTTTGTCCATATTTTGATCATTTAGTGAAAAATCTCCATAAAATAAGGATGAAATGATAAAAATACCCTCAATTTGGTCAAATCATTTTGGCCTATTGTTTATTAAATTGAGGATAACTTTATTATTTTGATCCTTATTTAACTTAATTTTTCACCCATGGATCAAAATGATTGATGGTAGACAATCTCAGGGACTCCTTATATTGATTTTAAATCTCATGGACTAAAGTGATGAGTTATGCAAATCTCAAGATCATTTTGGCTAAACAAAACCTTTTACTTAATCTAAAAGGGGGTTTTTTTTAACTCTAATCTTCAAGAAGATTGAAATTTAAAATAAACCTGATGTTAGATTACATATTGATTATAATCCCTTAATGTATCCTTAATTCAAAATAGTTAAGGTGCATTTTATTTAATGTCTCCTATTAAATATTTAAATTTATTATTATACAAAATTTTAATTTATTTTTTGACCAAAAAAGGGTTTTTTTTAATTTATTAATTTTATTTAGCATTCTTAAAACTTGAAGGACTCAATTAATGTAACTAAATGTTAGTACCGAAATGTGTGTATCGAAATGTATTATATTTAACTAATGTATTTAAATATTAGTACTGAAATGTATGTACCGAAATATATGCACCAAAATGTATTATATTAATTAATGTACCTAAATATGTGTACCGAAATATTAGCACCGAAATGTATGATATTTAACTAATGTCTATAAATGTTAGAACTGAAATATATTATATTAAATTAATGTACCTAAATGTGTGTACCAAAATGTATGCATCGAAATGTTAGTACCGAAATGTTTTATATTGAATTATTGTACCTAAATGTTTGTATCGAAATGTATGTACTGAAATATGTGAATCTAAATGAATGCATTGAAATGTATTATAATAAATTTAATGTACCTAAATGATGAAGACAAAGTACATCGAAATATATTGTATAACAAAAATTAATTTATCTAAATGTTTACAACAAAATATATTACGATAAATGAAATGAAAATGAAAATTATAGTGAAATAAATTAATACATTAAAAATTAGGAAGAAAAAGAGAAATAATTAAAAAAATAAAATATAATTAATAAATGAGGTTATTAATGTATCAAGTGACAAAAATTAGATTTTGATCTTATTCATGGTTTTAGTCTAAAAATCATCTTTGCCAAGGATTAAAATCTAGTTTTCTATAGGGGTCTTTGAACTTTAATCCTTCAAGAAGATTAAAATTTAATAAAAACCTAGCGTTCGATTGAATATTGATTTTAGTATGTACTGAATTCAAATTCATATTATATTTTTGTTTTTATATTTAATAGATAACTTATTTAATGTTATTACATTAAATTTTAAATTAATTATTATACACATTTTAATTCACTAAATTTATTTAACTTAATGAATTTTATTTAACTTTATTTGATTAATGTACCTAAACTTTTGTATCATAATATATTTTACTAAATTAATGTACCGAAATGTTTGTACCTAAATATATTGTAGTGAATTAATGACACATAAGAAAATATGTAAAAACATAAGTAAATCAAAAATTCCGTACTAACTATATGACGCTAAACTAGTGTACCGAAATGTTGGTACCTAAATATATTATACTAAACTAGTTTACCGAAATGTCCCTACCTAAACATATTATACTAATCCAATGTACCTTCGTACCTAAATATATTGTAATGAATTAGTGGCAGATAAGAAAATATGCAAAAATATAAGTGTGCCAAAAAATCTCTACGAAAATATTTTCTTATATAAGATGTTACCATAATGAGAATTAAAATTTATAATATTTTCATAAAATTTAAATTCATAAAATTATAAATAAAACAAGAGACATTGAATATATGCAGGCATTAAATAGAGTCTAAGAACTAAAATCAATTTTTAATCTTGTATAAGACACTTTTCTAAACTTCATCTTATTTAGAGATTAAAATCTAGTTTTCTAATTTAAAAGACACTTTCAATTAGCTTGAGAACATTATGAGAATAGAAATTACCGATCTCCTAAAACCATTCCTCCCAAAGACGCAACATCTCTAAGAGCTCTTCTCCACAGCTCCACCTTGTCCATCTCCTCCGTACTGAATCGCTTCTCATGTCTGGCAAATGCTTCAGCAAAAGAACCACTCTGCTTCCTGACATCGGATGGATCCACATCATAGAAAATTGGTAGAACCACATGTCTACGATCAGCATTTCTACGTTCCACGATCTTCAAAAGTTCGTTCAAACACCACCTTGAGGAAGCATAGTCCTTGGAGAAGACAATTATCGATACTTGTGACTCCTGTATCGCCTTCTCTAACACCGACTCAATCTTCTCCCCTCTCTTGATTTCATCATCGTCTCTAAACGTGTGGATTCCTGCTTGCTCCAAGGCTCTATAGAGGTGATCAGTAAAGCCCTTGCGCGTGTCCTGGCCTCTGAAACTCAAGAAGGCATGATAGGAACACCGGTAAGAGGACGAATAAGAATCTCGGAAAGCATCCATCTAGAGAAACTCTCTGCTTCTTGGTTCTTGCAATGACTGAATGTAGGGCACGAATATGCAAGGCCGAGGACAATTATATGCAGTTTCTGAGAGGGACATATATATGAAGAGGAAGGTTCCCATTAGCCACCAGGAATTCCACACTTACTGACGAGGAAGTTTCCTTGTAAGTGAATGGGATGTTGAGGTACAGAATTTGAGAGGAGTTTGACTATCAGCTTTGATGAAACTAGGACAAAAAAATGTTACGAGGTTGAGTGAAATTGTAAATACCATAAATTGTGAAGCATTCTACATGTAAATACCATAAATTGGGAGACCTTAAATTGCCCTTGAAAAGTGGGAGACCTTAAATTGTGGAGCATTCTACATGTAAATACCATAAATTGCCCTTGAAAACTTCAAAATTTACAATTAAATTAAGTACATTACATTTTACACCCTCAAGTTTGAGTGAAATTGTAACCTCATACAACATATTTAGAGCATTTCAATCTCACACACAAACTTGTATTTTATAGCAATTTCAAACATTCATTCGTTAAACCGTTAATTTAACATTTTTTTTTCTTTTTTTTCAAACGTTAATTTGACTTTCGGGGTTAGGGTATTTTTGGGGGCATGTGGCTTGACGTGAAGGAGTCAAATTAGAAAGAAGATTGGTGTAGGGGACTAGTTCCACAAGACACGGTGGTTGTATGGAATGGGTGGTGCTGATGGAGAATGTAGGAAAGAAGGTGGAAATGCATGTGGTGTGCTCGGGTGGGAGAAGAGTGGGTGGGTCCCTTTTTACTTTGTTTATTATTTAGTTTTGTATTTAAATTGTTTTTATAATTAATTATTTTATATGCCTAGTCTTTAAAATATGTGGTTCATGTATTTGCCAGTCATCACTTAACAGTAAATTGACGATTTGACTAACAAATATATAAAATTGCAATAAAATACAAATTTGTGTATAAAATTGAAATATTTTAAAGATGTTTATTGTAAATTGGTAGGTGTTTTATGATTGACAAATATATAAACAAATTAACTTAATTTTTTTTTTTTAAATCGTAAAAAATTTTCTAATTTAACATACAAAGACTAATTATCGCACGCATAAATTTTGACAAGCGGCTAGTAAACACAAGAAAAATAAAGTACAGTAAATGAGAAAGAGTTAAACCTTACAGTTGACGAGTTAGCGGGAAGATTCTTAATAGCCACCAAGACACTTCACACTTATTGATGAGGAAGTTTCCCCGATGGATTAAGTCAATGGGTTGGTGAGGATAATACAGAATAGGAGTTTGACTATTAGGGGGGAGTTTGACGATCAGCTCCCATGATGAAATTAAACAAAGAGAAATGCCAAGGAAAATCTATCAGAGCAAGTTCAGTCCATTCAATCCGTGGTATCATTTTTTGTACATAATATTTGACACACGTTCTTGCAATACTTACTTCGTTATATATTTAAACGATCTGAAATGTTTATCACTTATTATTTTCTCAAAGACTATGTCTACCAAAAGATCATCTAAATCTGATCCATTTCTTCATTACAAATGAATGTCTTAATAATTTTGATTTATATAATTTTTGCAAAAATGCTAAAATACACGGAGTGAGTCCACGAAAGCGTGTGTTAAAGGTTGGTTAAAAAGAAGTGGTGCGACTGCCATGGAAGAGAGACTATTTTAAACGATGTCTAGCCTTTATTAAACAATGACTCGCACCGAGATTGACCAATCTCCAAACTATATTCTTTCTTTTATTATCAATCTCCAAACTATCTAATCTTTCGACAATCCACGTTCAGAAAACAAGCATCCTCATTATTGTCAAGTGCAATAATTCACAGAATACAAATCTGTAAAAAAACATCCAACAAGGCTACAACCTTCAAAGCGAGTCTATGAAGAGGCTCAGTGCTCACAGCTCAGTGGAAAGGAACTACCAAAGAAAATGTCATACGGGAACGTATAATCTACATCAAGACGCGAAGTAACGAGATTAACTCTAACAGAGAAAAGTAATATGAACTCAGATTCTTCCCACTCGATGTGCAACAGCATGAAAAAGAAAAGAAGCTATGACTAATCTTGCAGGGTTTAATTTTGAAACCAAATGCGATAAACAAAAGAACCACAGGTTTGCTATAAATCACTACACAAGATATAAACGAACGGGACATGCTGGTCTAAAGAACCACAGGTTTACTATTTGTGCAGCAAGTTAATCAAGTTTAGAAAATTTTCTTCTATTTTTGGAACCTATAAAACATAGCGACAAAGAAAGAGACCAAAGTGAATGATCTAGCGGTTGAAGCCAATTTCAACGAAAGGTACAAGCATACATAATTAGGAACCCAACTAAAGATAAATAAGTAAACTTACCAAGATCAACAATACTACAGGCATATCAGGACTTGATCTGTAACAAAAACAAAACTTGTCATTCATGATGTGAGAGTGGTGTAGTTCAACTGTACAATTAACAGTCCCAACCGGAAAGTTTCAGACAACACAACATCATCACTGAAGCATGAGAGCACGTGAAATGTAAAGATCCAGCGAAATCCGACACCGAAAAAGATTAAGAAATAATACCTTGTCATATACGGTAATGAAGTAGTAACCATTGGGAGCACATTGAGTGCTATCCTTCAACAACCCATCAACTGTCCGAAGCTCAACCTAAAATCCCAAAATCAATTTGTTACTTGTTCGATATCCCGTATCTGGTTTAGATTAGTGACGAAAATGCAGTGAAATTTCAGGCACTAATTCCAAAAATTGTTTTACCGTGATCTGAGAATAATCCAATTTAGCATCGGTCGGCTTCCTGGCCTTGATCAGAGAAGAACTAGCCTGAGAGTTTACAGTGGCGATTACAGACTCGATCAGGTAAAAGGGTAGAATTCATTAACTCTAACAGTGAAAAAGATGAAATCTTTTACCTCGACGAAGCCGCCGCAGCCGTGGATTGAGTCGGCGAAAGTGGTAGAGAGAGAAGAGATTACGAGAAAGAAGAAGAAGAAGGCGGAGGCGTGGTCTTTGATGCCTCCCTCGTGTGAGTGTTTTTAGAGTTGCGAGACCTGATCTTCTTGGATGCAGACGGGGTTTAGTTTCAGCCATTGAGATTGATCCAACGGTAATCAATTAAATTGCTCCAGGTATCTGTTAGGATATAAGTGTGTGTGGAGGATATAGCCATGTGTCACAAATGTATTGGTGGAGTTAGTTAAGAGTGTGGTATTTATAAGACAGGTTGGTCACAATTGAAAGGAATGAAAAAAACAATTGAAAGTTTCCCTCCTATCTTTCTCTCTTTGTTTGCTTTGGCTCTTCGATACTTTTCCTTCATTGTTGCTGCACACTACCTATAAATACCTTGTTGACATGGTATCATCGCCGGTCAAGGTTGACGCCGTCGTCTGACGATCTTGCTGATCTCGGTGCTTCCGCTTTTCGTCGCTCTTTCGGTAGTGTTCTCTCGGTTTTCTTCTTGTTACAGTCGGTTGCCCTCTCAAACCCTAACATTTGGGGTTTCTTGGAGACTATTGCCATTCGTCGTTTTGGTTGAAGGTATCAGTTGCGTTTCTTGATTTCTTGCTTCTGTTTAAGAATCTTGGTGTGGATTACAGTGTTGCGAATTGTTGATTGTTGATTTGTCGAAGTTTTTCGGTGAAGTTGTTAATTTCTTGAGGATTGTTCATTTCTTGCTTATGTTTGTGAATCTTGCTGTTGATTGTGGTGTTGATCGTTTATCTCGACTAGTTAATTGCTGATTTGTCAAAGATTGTTGATAGTATTGATTTCTTACGGTTCTTGCAAAAATTGTTCGTTGGTGATTAATCATGGTGACGTTTGCACAGTTAGCTCTTACTCAATCCCCCATTTCCTCCCCTTCACGACATGGTGATCTTGTCCCTGATTCCACTTCTTCCTCTGTGGATACATGTTCACCATCAGTGGCACAGTCTGACATTCATCCTGATGTCACTGTTTCTCAAGTCCCCGAACTACAACCTGTTTCAGTGTCTCAGATTCCTACTCATCCGATGCAAACCAGGTCCAAGTCTGGCATTTTCAAGAAAAAGGTCCTTCTTGCTCAGGTTCATGTGTCTTCTGTCAAAGAACCACAATCTTTCACAGCTGCAGCCAAGTCTATTGAGTGGAGGACTGCCATGGAAGAAGAAATGGCAGCCTTGGTTAAACAGAAAACATGGCAATTGGTTCCCCTTCTACCTAACAAGAATTTGGTTGGTTGTAAATGGATCTACAAGGTCAAAACCAATCCTGATGGTACAGTTGCTCGATACAAGGCCCCGTTGGTGGCCAAAGGTTTTTCCCAAGAAGCAGGTCTTGATTATTATGAAACCTTTAGTCCTGTGGTTAAGCCAACCACAGTGCGGCTCATGTTATCTTTAGCTGCAACTAAAGGATGGAGATTAAAACAGCTTGATGTTAAAAACGCGTTTCTGCATGGTTTTCTTGATGAAGAGGTGTATATGTGTCAGCCCTAAGGATTTATTGATCCGGATCACTCGGAACTTGTGTGCAAATTGGAAAGGTCTCTATATGGCCTTAAACAGGCCCCTCGAGCTTGGAATGAACGTTTTACCAGGTTTCTTCTTACCTTGGGTTTCCAGTCTTCATATGCTGATCCTTCTTTATATGTGAAGCATGATGGACAGTCTGTGGTTGTCTTATTATTGTATGTTGATGATATAATTCTCAGTGGTGATGATGAGACTAAAGTTCAAGCTGTGATCCATCAGTTGACTAGTGAATTTGATATGAAGGATTTAGGACTTCTTCATTATTTCCTCAGTCTTCAAATTGAGTATCAGACTCATGGTTTATTTGTGCATCAATCCAAATATGTTTCTGATTTACTCAAGAAGACCAACATGTTGGATAGCAAGCCTTGTACTACTCCTTTTCATCCAAACCACAAGCTACTCAATCATGGCAGTCCTCCCTTTCTCGATTCAGGCCTTTATCGGAGTATTGTTGGGGCCCTTCAATATTTGACATTTACTCGACCAGATATCACTTATTCAGTCAATCAGGTTTGCCAGTTCATGCACTCTCCTCTCGAGAGTCATTTTGTTGCTGTTAAACGAATTTTACGATATCTCAGAGGTTCCATGTCTCTTGGTTTATGTTTTAAACCTGGTCTGTTGGATATTAAAGCCTACACAGATGCTGATTGGGCGAGTGATCCCAATGACAGAAGGTCCACCACGGGGTTTGTCGTGTTTTTGGGGTGTAATCCTATCTCGTGGAGTTTTAAGAAGCAGCATACTGTTAGTAGATCCTCCACTGAAGCTGAATACCGTGCTATGGCGACCACCACTGCAGAGGTGGTTTGGTTACAGCAGTTACTCCAGGATTTACATCTTCCGTGTCCTGATATTCCTCTTCTTCACTGTGACAACATCTCTGCCATGGCATTGGCTACGAATCCTGTCTTACATTCCAAAGCCAAACATATAGAAATCGATTGTCATTTCATTCGTGAACGTGTTCAGCAAGGCTCCATTATGTTGCAGTTTGTCAATTCTGCAGATCAGCATGCTGATATTTTCACCAAAGGATTGTGCTTTCCTTTGTTTAGTTCTCATTGTACCAATCTTATGCTTGGTAGTACCTCCCATAAGATTGAGGGGGAATGTTAGGATATAAGTGTGTGATATGTGTGTGTGGAGGATATAGCCATGTGTCACAAATGTATTGGTGGAGTTAGTTAAGAGTGTGGTATTTATAATACAGGTTGGTCACAATTGAAAGGAATGAAAAAAACAATTGAAAGTTTCCCTCCTATCTTTCTCTCTTTGTTTGCTTTGGCTCTTCGATACTTTTCCTCCATTGTTGCTGCACACTACCTATAAATACCTTGTTGACAGTATCAAATACGCAGCCGCTTGCTGGGTACCCCTTTTCCCTCCTTTCTTTCTCCACTCTTCTGCTGCAAAATCTCTCCTCATCCCTCTCACCTCTCCCCCTCTCTCTCACCTGTTCTTCTTCTCTCAGTCGTCAGGTACTCTCTGTCTATTTCTGGTCGCTCTCGTTGGCTGATATATAATTTTGTGACGTCTACCTCTAGATAACCAGAACCTGAAACGCAAATCCTTGTTCTTATTTTCCTTCTGTTTCTGTTTTTAAAATAATTATTAGTATGAACTTGTGAGCATATCTGGTGAGTTTCGAAACGCAACTGGTGATTGATGTGAGGACTTTCTTATGTTAAATTCCTGTGGCAGTGCCAAGTAATTGATTTTGTTGCTCACATTGCATTCAGATTTCTATCTTATAGTTTCCTTTGTTTCAATCTTTATATATTTATCGGATACCGCAGTTGCTCATTTAGCTTTGTGTCTTTACATATTGGTTTTCGAAAGTTAAGTTGAAGTTGTTGTATCATTGATGTTAGTTGGACTGAATTTCGTATCTCATGTCTCCTATTGTTTCCAACTTTATATTTAATTGGAATTGGAACCACAGTTGCGATTGCCAAAGCCTTGAAGAATCTTACAAATTGTTTTTGGACAGTTCAGAGTAATAGACTAGTACTGCAAATAGAGACCAATGATGTCCGAAGAGTGAAGAGTCGATTATAATTTTGTGTGGCGGACTTGTATAATATCGTTCTTCATCTGAGGGGTTTAATTGTGTCTAATGGCTACCGATGGTTTCAGACGGCAACAGGCTTCATCAACTCCGCCTCGAAAAATCAATGTCCAAAAGTTTGCAGAATCACGGGGTTCAGAGCTTGAGACACTCCATTCAATTGTATCTAACAGACTGAACAATGACTTCCGGTCTCGGAGAAGCAAGAGAAGAAGAACCACCTCTTACGACAATCAAGTCGCCAAAAAAAGATGTAGAAAGAAGCGAAAACTTGATCAGAGTAATGCTTTGACATTGCCTCCAGAGAAAGATGACAAGAAGAATGTTCCTCGTTGCATTCGTAGGAGAGCTGAGCTTAAAATGAACCTTGAAAAGGGTTTCTGCACATCAGGGGATGGTACAAAGAGGCTTAGAACACATGTTTGGCATGCGAAGCGGTTCACAATGACAAAGCTTTGGGGTTACTACCTTCCCTTGGGTTTGCAGGGCAGGTAAAACGCATTATTAATTTAGCAGTGCTATTCCTTACCTTTCGCTTATTATTTGTTCTATTTCTCGATAAATACTAATTTGTTTGTTATCTACTTTATAAAGTATTTAATTCTTTGATTGAATGATGATTTATGTCAATACTGAAGCTCGTCTACTTCTATGCTTTGTACTTGATTCTCTGATAAGCCAACATTTTTTTTCAAATGTTACTCTCAAGTGGTTTTTGTGCTGCGCTTAGATGTCAAAGTTCGCCTCTAGTCTAGACTTGGTAGATGTCAGAATAGAGAACTCATTACTGTTAGATGATACTAAATGTTCTCGGTAGATTATATACTGTTATTCATATAATGCTTTATTATCTTAGATGGAGGGCAGGGACATCGTGATTAATTGTTTCTCACTTGAGGGTCAACTTGCAAAATTACAATTAGTGGGATCAAAAGCATTTCAACTTCTTCAAAGGACATTAATCCCTGCTACCAGGTGAGTTATGGAGAGGATTGACATTCAGGTGAGTTATCTTTAACCAAGTAATGAGGTTAAAGATGGCTATTTTTGTTGTCTGGCTGAATAGGACTAGAGATAATTCTTGGAAGTTGATGAGACATTCAGCTGCCAAGGTGGATGAGGATTCCCAATCTACAATTCTTCTTAAAAACGAGGACGAAATTCCTTCTCATGCAATTTTGTCCCTTAATGTCAAGGATCCTCGCACATTAACAGAGAAGGGAAACACTGCAGATGCTCAAGATTTAGGTTCAGCTAGTATACTAGGTGATGTACTAGGAACTGAAGACAAAAAGCATGTTATCTTTGGACGATTTTCAGATGAACCTGCAGGTAGTGGCAAGATCAGAGCAAACAATGTTAGCAGTGGAGTAAGCCCTCCAGTGGAAGAGGCTGTTCTTTGCAAGGAATAACATGACCAGAATAGGAATTTCTTCTGCCTCGATGATTCAAGTTCAGGGGAACTAAATACTTCCTCCACTTCACAGGGCTCACGATCCTGCCCGATTATGCTTTTGAAGAATAGCAACGGAAGAGGCTTGCATGTTGGGTAAACTCCTTTTTTTCCTTGTTTATTCTTCCATTTAGTGTTATGTGGATTATGCTAATTGCTGCATATTTTATGTACTTGTATTAATGCTTATATGTGGGTTCAGTGGGCACCTTTCTCCTGAGTTGTATGGTCGTACTGGTTGTAAACTGTTAATGTATTTTGCTTCTCATAAAGATATATATATATATATATATATATATATATATATATATATATATTATAGAGTTCTATGTCTTTTGTATCGGAAACATGAAAGTCGTGGCATAAATGTTCCCACTGACTCTTAGTGCAATAATTGATAACGCGATCTTCGAAGTTCGGAATTTCATGAAAGTACAATGTGACAATCTGTTTTTTTCTGACTCGCCTTAAAATTGCTTCAATGCATCAAACTTTATCATCTGTTCAATTGAGTTTGATATATTTTTAAAGTTACCTTAGATGTCTATCTCTTATTGCCTTACAGATGATCTGTTATACTCCCCGTAAGCAGGGTCAAGGCATTTTGGATTTCTCTTGTCTCTAAGGGGGCTCATGCAATGGGGTTGAGAGAGAAGCGCTGGATTTCATGTGAAGTAAGCATTGAAACTTATTATGTATAAATTATAATATTTAATATCAGTTTATCGAACGTTGCATTTGAGTCCCTTTTATTTTCTAGGTGGGGTTACCATATTTTCCTTCAGATTTTCCCGATTGCGATGCTTATTTATGCCTCAAGGAGACCGAAGCTGCTGCCTCTAATCTTAAAGAGGAACTTCGTCCTCCAGCCATAAGACCTTTGAGGGTTCCCATTTTATCCCCATGGAATAGTATCCGAGTTGCTGTAAATGAAGAATCTAATACAGTTGGAGATGCTGAAAGTTTTAGGCAGCAACATGGCATCAGAAGCAATTCATCATCTAATTCAGACGCTGGAAATTCTGATGCTACATTAGCCGCCTGTCATGGAAATTCATTTGATGGTTTTATAGCATGGATGAGTTTTTCGCTGACAAATTTCTTGAGTGAAATTCAAGGCTGTCATTTACGTCTGTATCCTTATGTCGCTGATAAGGAGACAAGTTTCACGAAGTTTATGAGGGATGAAATCAAGCTTGGTCCAGGCCAAGATCAGTTTACTAGATTTAAGAACAGTCATAAACTATTTTTTGTTAGAGTATTACTCCATGCTTACAAGGAAGGTTTTCTTGAAGAGGGAGCTGTAATTTGTGCATCTCGGCTGACGGACATATCACTGTGGACCAGGTAGTCATTTTTTATTTGATATCCTATAAGCTTATGGTTTATATGATATCCAATAAGCTTATGATTGTATTACAACGGTGGTGCTTGAAATTTTCTCGTCTTTTATATACTAGTAGAGGAGATAATGTGACCTATTTACATTACGCCTCTTATTCAGAACCTGCATTAATGAAAACTTTCTGAGATTTAATGTAACCGTTGAAAATTTTAATCATGGGAGTGACTTGAAATTTTGCGGCTATTTTTGAAAGACTTTATAAGTATTTCAGAGCACCATTCATGCTGCAGACCAATAATTGTGAAAAATAAGCTTCATGTCTGTGTCTTGCAGGTCAAAGAGTTTTGATGGGGGACTTCAATTGCCTCAATCTGCTGTGGCTTCGTACTTCGCAGAGCAATCTTCTGGTAAGTGGGAACTCCAAATGCCAGAGGACCCTGTTCTTAGAGAAACTTATCGTTCGCCAATAGGCTTCGTCACCACTCATTTTGTTAGATGGAGGTTAGTTCACAGCCTCTTGCCACTTTACAACGACCATCTTTTCTTTCTATTTTGCTATGCATTCATGATTTTCCATGTGCTAAATTGCATTTTATTTTATATGCAGTAAGAAGCCAGTAGCACAAGCTTTTTGCGAGGCAGTTGTACTCGCTCATCTCAGAGAGGAATAATGGGATTTGGTGCCAGCTAAGCGAAGACGAAAGGAAATATATGCTCTAGTCAGGAATTTGAGATTTTCAGCTTATAGACTTGCTCTTGTCACCATTGTTCTGGAGCATCAGGAAGAAGATGTCGATTTCTTGTGAGCAGCCGCAGAGTATGTGGTTGGCTTGCGTAGCATCACGAAACAATGTTGTTCGAAATTTACTTTTTACTCAACCAAATAGTTCTAGGAAGCTTCGTGTTTTTCGTGTCTCGGCAACATCACAGTCATTAGTCACATAATACATATAACATTTCATCCTTACAAACACTTAAACATTAGTTAGCGGTTTTTTGATTTCGAAGTAGCGGTAGTTGGTGATATTCTTGTGATCGTTGCCACTAATCTATGTGGTAAACTAAACATAGATTTATGTAAAGAAGATCATGAACCTGTTCCCCAATTCTCTGAAAAAAATGACCTACCTGCACAATGCCCGTTACTATGAACAAAAAAAAAAATCTAATCAACTAAGTTTCGTGAAGTTCTACCATTACTCTTATCTCCCCCGAAGCTTACCAAATGCGTGTCACACAATCACGCAGGCAAGATTATATTCGGACAATGATATAAAGAATGTGTGATTAAAAACGTAGGTTCCAATGCTCAGAGTCAATGAAAAGCATGTGCATTGAAGTGCAATACTCCATGCTTACAAAATGAAGGACTTCATCTGCCTTGTCAAAAAGCTCCGCCTTTACATAGATGTCAGCCAGATTACGATAGGCTGACCAACTGCCTTTTTTTCCATTGTGTGTTTTCATTTCGTCCAGGACTCTTCCTACTGCTTCAAAATCTTCTAAAGCGGCGAAGCTCTGCATCCATGTTTTATTAGTACGTTTGTCCCGAGGGATGTTTCTCTTCTTCATTTCTTGCACTAAAGGATCCACTCTCTCTGGGTTCTGCTTTCTCATATGCAGAGACATGAGACTGTTAAAGATAAAAGTAGACGACGCACATACCAACTCATCCCTCGTTGCAAAAAGCGCCAGTGCCTTTTCTTCAATCAGTTCCTTGCAGTAACAGTGCATAAGTGCACTGTAAGTGAATAGGTTCTTTGACGATTCCGGTAGGCCGCTGACATAATCCTCAGCGGCTTCTATCCCTTTGACTTTGGACGTAAGATCCACGCGTACGGCATAGTGTGATTTCGAGTACTCCATTTTCCTAAAATCCATGTAGTTCACTCTAATTTTCACTTTTATTCTTGTATCTTCATTTTTGTAGTTTAATCGTGTTATTACCGATACCTGACTAAACATGATAATACGATCAAACTACAAAAATAACTATAAAGAATATTAGAGGAGACCATGAGGGAGAGTGGCTAATAAAATTCTCGATTCCTTACCAGCAAATCACAAATTGAACCATATATTGACGTAATGTGAAGTAACTTGTTAAGAAAACTTATCAACCTATGTCGAATTGTGACATGTTTGTAACAAGGCCAGCAATACTACGTATGGAGAATTTTTTTAGTTTTGACATTGTCATTGTCGCATGTAGTTATTAATCCATGTGCTACATTAGTCGACCAATGCTGCTTAACTCCTTACATACAAATCAAAAACTGAAACTTATAGTAACGTGAAATAACTTGTATAAAAACAGAAACAATTATGTAGAAATGTCAAACTGTGACTTGTCTACAAGGAGGGAATACTATACAAATTGAGGATATTTTGATGTCGGTGCTAACATCGTCACCTGTAGTTATTAATCACGTGTTGTACTATGGATGATTCGCATAGTTGATATGTCAGTTGCGATTCGCCCACCTAAAAATTATTCACTTAGATGTAAGGAGCCATGTGTGTTTGTTAATTGGGTAGATGATGGGCATAAGTGAGTGTTATGTAGGTGCTTTGTGCTCAATTGGCAGGTAAGAATATTGAGATCCTTATTTTCACCATTGCTGCTAGACCTTTATAGGTTGCTGATAGCACCTTTACAAGTTGGAAAAGTAGGTGCCATGGCCCATCATGGTTGCAAGGGTAACCTGCAATTACTTCAATGGCTCATGGGTCCTTACACAGTAAATTCTGTCGACTTACCAGACGGGACCTCATGGAGTAGTGGGGTGAGCGAGTTCAGTCCGCCATTCTTCGTCTACATTTTCATTTTCAAGGTCAGGTTCATGGTCGCGATAAACATAATGAATGGGAGGGTTCACCATTGATGCAGGTGTTTGTAGAGAAATGCAAGTACTTGGAAGAAAGCAAATGCGTCGGTATATGTCTGAATACTTGCAGGCTTTCTTCAAAAGATTACATGGGCGTTGCTTTTGCGATGGAGCCAAACTTCGTCGATCATAGCCGTCAGGTAATACCCCAAGACCTCTACAGCTCTACTCATTTCCACATATTGATTGTCCTACAATTGACTCTCTCAATTGAACTCGAACACGACAATTTAAATTCGGGGTTCTCCCTCCGCTTCTTGAAGCTGATGCCACTCCTTAAGGAACCATGTCTGGAGATCTGCCCTAACTCCTTTCGACCAAGAGAAAAAACATTAACGTAGACAAATGTCCGAAGGCATGAAGGACTCTAGCATTGGTTTGCTACTGGAGATATCGTAAAACTAGATATGTATGAATGGATCGGGAATGAATTATAAACTTCTGGGCATACATCGAGTACCGTTTGATCTGCAACAAGCATGAAAAAGAATTGAGGCATGACTAATCTTACACGGAGTTTAATCGAAGCCATTTTATTTGAAATCAAGATTTTGGCAAACAAAAGAAGCCATTTTATTGATTATTTGAAATCAATATACAAGAAGTAAAAGGTGGGGGCCATGCATGGTATCATAGGGAGAGAAACAGGACCTCGGGGGCCATGCATGGTATCATAAGGAGAGAAACAGGACCTCGGAAAATCGAAAAAAATGGGATAAACACCGAACTGAAATCTAAAAAATCGTGCCGATTAAAACCCAACCAAACTAAACTGTATAAGATATAATTTGATTATTTTTTATTTATTTATATTGGGTATTTATTTTTCAAGTCTAATTCTAAGTTAACTATTAGTCTAATTTCAATCCAATGTTAGGTAGACCCAACTTTAGGTCCAAATATGTTGAAGGCCTTGTTCTCTAGATATTCTTTTTCATTTTCTCTCCAATCTCTCCAACGGGACAAACCCGTAGTCTAAGAAAAAAAGGTGAGGTAAAGCAATGTTGATACTTGATATCTTAAAGATGAGCATAAGCATACACAAGGGTTCGACCAACTTAGAGTAGATGTCTCATCAAAACCTCATTAGGTTAGCAAAAAACCAATGAAAAAAATGCAGAATAAGATTACATTAGGGCGTAGTTAGTTTTCATGTTTCTAGCCCCAACTTGAGGAAACTTCAAGTTCTAGGGTTTTGTAATCCCATTTCCAAATTCTTATTAATTTCACACACATCATTCATATCAAGCAATTCGAACATAGTTGAATCATAAAGACTAGGTTTTAGGGTTACTTGGCTGGTGTGACAAAACTCTGGTTTCAAATGACTTTTTTCAAATCCATATTTCAATCTTTAAGACGCTGCATTTCAATAAACATAAACACAAGAGGAGAAATTGAATCAATTAACAACTAGATCACTTCAATAAAAAGTAATGGTTTAATCGAAATAAGAATGATATGAAACTAATACTTTCCCTTAATTGCAAATGGCGAAACTCCAAAATAATTCTTCTTTAGAACTTCAAGTGAAGCATTGAAAGCAATTTGTGCTAATACCTTGTTCAAAAACTAACTATTTACAACATTATATTCCTTTTATTAAATGTGAAAACTGCACACTTACCTATATGAACATGTATTTTACCGTATGATTGACAAGTGTATACAAATCAATTTTTTCTAAATACATATATAAGTGTATTATACATGTATTATAAGCGAATTTAGTAAAAAAGAAAAAGTGTGTAGAACAGTTGGCCTGTTTTGCAAATACTGCAAAGTTGGATAAAATAACAAGAAGTAGAAAAATGAAAAACATACGACGAAAGGGTATATTGGGGGTTCAGTCCTCTTCCCTCCCTCTCCATTTCCAATCTCCGCAGACAGCACAACCTCTTTCTCCCTGCTGCCCTTCTCTTACCGGGTAACCTTAACCCTACCTTCCACCCCTTATAATAAATATACGTATGCATATTTCGATATAGCTCAGTTTGTGTCTCTGAAGCTAGCGACTTCACTTATCTGAAAACTTGAGGAAGTTCACTTTTTCCCCCCTTTAATTTGTGTTTTTCGACTGTTAATTTCTGAGAATTTATGAAAACAGACGAAATCAGTTAAATTGTTAGCTAAATTTTGAACTGGGAAGGAAATGTATTGCATGAATTAAATTGTTTCTACTTTTTTGTTTGTTTGTTTTCTTGTTATCAGATATGAAGTTTTTGACTTTCTTTGGTACTTCTTAGAGTAAAAAATACCTCTGTTACTATTATTATTGTGCAACTTTACGAAGCCAGCTGCAAAATCCGTCATTTTTGTTCATTTTTTCGATTGGAAAAACCTTTTATTCAACTAATAGTTAAGGGTTAGGTGTGACTATTGGGAATTTGTTTAAAATTCAAACTAGGACAGTGATTTTTTTTTAATTTAGATATGAAAATGACGGTGATAAGCACTTAAGCACTAAAGCACTTCATATGAAAATGACGGTAATAAGCACTTAAGCACATGTTGAAGTTGGGAAGGTCTATTCAACATGACTTGTGCATAGGATTTGAACAGCAAATTTGTAGAAGTTTGAACATGTCGTCTTACTTCAGTTTAGCTTAATTTAGAAGACAAGGCATAAGTAGTAATTTATTATAAAGTAGGACTATCAAGGTTAACGTCTGGATTTTGTAAGGAGATGAATTTAAAAGAAGATGAATTTAAAAGAATACAATCTTTAGGACCAACTGATGAAAAGGATCAGAGAAAAGGTTGTCGAATACACCCTTGATCATGCATCTGTGATGCTGTAAGAGCTCTAATACTATCGTTGTAACATGGAGAAAGGAACAGTCCATAGATATCGAAGTTGTCGTAGAAGTGCTGTTATAGCACTGGAGGGCTTTGGTGCATTTTTGTTTTGTCTGAGTGTACATTGTTATTATTGTTATTGTTGTTTTTGGTGTTGTGGGTGGAACCGTGGAAGCGAGGGAGTGGTGGCTTACAGTGTGATTCTGTCAGTCGTATTTCTTTATGTTTGTTTGATTTTGGTTTGTGGTTTAAAATGTCGATGTTTAAGGTGCAAAACGAGGAGGGAATCATCACTGAGCTCTACATCCTGGGAAAATGGTATGTAATCGACTCTAATCGGCAATTTTTTTGTATGATTGTTTTTGGGATTAATTTGTAGTTTTTTGTGGATACGGTTTGGAGACGAACTAATGATCACCAAGAAGATGTGATAACGGATGGAGGGAATGAAGTATTGTTTGATGACCAAATCACGAAGCGGAGAACAACAGGGAGTGATTCTGATTCTCATGCCCTGCCACATGCTCAAACACATCAGAGTAATTGAGATCTAATTGTACAATATTTATGATTTAGGAATGGAAACACATTCGAAATTAGGAATATCATAACATTGTCTTACGAAAATTCCAAATGGAAAGCAGTCCATACCTTCATTAGAAGGGAAACTGAAAGTATATAAATTATGAAGCGCAGAACTTCAAAAATGAGGGGCAAAACTTTTGTGTATGCTAAAGATAGCATAAACCTCAGTTTTAAATATGACAACATGATAATGCATTTCAGTGCATATAAATGTAGTTCCACAAATTAGGTTCCATCTGAATGCAATTGGTTTCTCTGCTAGATTGCCATGGATGAAGTATGATGTTTTATTTACCGCATCTAATGATCTTACTTATGGTTCGCAGGAAGAAGTTATCAAGTTAAATGAACAATTTAGCCATTTGAAAAGTTTGGTAAGCTCTTATGCCTTGGTTTATGTTCAAGCTTGAGCTTCTTAGTTGGACGTTAATCACTATATTTTCATTCATTTATTTGGGATGTGGTGGCACTGTTGATGCCATTGCTATCAATCCCAGGATTTTTCGTTTATAACACTTAGATTTATTTTAATCTATTAGTTTATAAAGTTTCTATGTAAAGAAGTGTTTGTGGTTTCAGACAGCCAGTGGGGGA